CAAAACAAACAGATCAACCATGATCTAACTGCATAACACAACAGGTCTGATGGCCTGACTGGCCTACTCCTGTTCCTATGGTCCAATACCTTTGGAATAAGATGGCCAGTTTGCTGCATTCTGTTTTAAATTCCAAACAAGTTTTGCATGAAGAACTTGAACTTTCTAAAAACGAAGGTTCCCAACTACATATCATATGGAACTTTAAGTTATACTTATTAATCCAGAAAGTTCTTGTTGAAGTTGAATCAAAAGGGTAGGGGTATCGAAGTGCCATTCAGATTTGCAATCTAATTTTGACAAATTATTTGGCTTCCACGCAACATTTACTTGGGAATCTTAATGGCTTCTATTTGCACTCAGCATACTTTAGAATCAGCTAAGTGCTACCATATAGGAAGAGCAAGAAATTTTCACTCTGGCTGTACAGGCTGGGATATCATGCACAATTTTGGTTTCCTTACATAAGGAAAGATGTATCTGCACACAGGGAGTAAAGCAAAGGATTACCAGCCTGATTCCTGGGATGGTATGACTCTCATGCGAGGACAGACTGGGTGACTCGGTCTACACTCAGGATGCTGAACTTGTGGAGCTCTCTACCACATAAGGCTGTGGAGGCCAAGCACTACATATACTTTGGAAGGAATTAGATTGCCTGGCACTAAAGGGCTGTGGAGGACGGAGCGGGGAGTACGGTATTGAGATAAAGATTCAGCAATAGTTGTGTTAAAGGGCAAGGCCGGGTTGGCGTGGTCAATGGTCTATTCCTGCTCCTATCCTGTAGGTTTCTATCTCCCAGGCCACGGGTGTAATGTGGCAAGTATGATTCAACACCACACTTTTTTTTAGAAAGCATTCCCAAATTCCCAGAATTTATCACCAAAAACAATTGTTTTCAAATAAACCTATTGGACTATAACCTGGTGTTGTGTGATTTCTGACCTTGTCCACCCAAGTCCAATACCGGCACCTCCACATCACAAAAGTTAGGGCTGCTTTGTCAGAGTTTAAGGATTCTAGATACAGGGTAATATGTATTTCCAATGACGTTTCACTTTGAAATAAAGTGGAACCTGAAAACTTTTCTATGCCTGCTGCATAAAGCACACAAATCAGGATTCAAGTTTATTTAGGAAATATAAACGAAGGAAAGAAGGGTTCTTATGGCACAGTGGTGGTGGCCCTAACTTGTGGCCACGAGACCCGGATTCAAATTTGTACCTGATCTTGAGGTGTGTAATAAATATCTCTGAACTGGTTGATATTTTAAAAGTAAATCCTTCAGAGAAGAAAGTGCTTTCGGGAATACAAATAAATAACAGGATTGAATGAAAGAGAACAGTGATTTTAAAGTGCTTCATGGATGCCAATATCTTTGACGAAAGGTAAGGTAACTGGCTGACAAGGCAAAAAGTGTTTCTATCTAGCAGAGAATTAAATTTACCAAAATCGGATTTTATTTGTTGTGGGTGACTGTAATTCATACAGCTTCCAAACATAAGCAATAGTTTTTATGATTTTAATAAATTAAACTGTTTGAACCAGGGTCAGGAAGCTCTCTTTGGTGTAGTTACGTTCCGGTTTCTGTGTCAAGTAGATAAAACTAGCGATTTTGTATTTTCCTGCAATTTATTTGCCAATTCTTGAATAAATTTGTAATCATTTAAATATTGCTAATTTTGTCACTGCAGAGCTTCACAGACCATTCAAAAATCTTAAAATTTCATCAGTTAGAGATAGCTCAGTTGACCTTGCTGCGGTTACTAAATAAATAACAATTTGGAGTGCAAGATTAATTGGAGCTGAGGGGTAAGGAAAAGGTTAAGCTCATGGTATGCACCACAGGATAGCCCAGGAGATCTGATGTCACATTGTGTCACACTTCTTTGCTTTGTGCCATCTACTGTAGCTGAACTGCAAATGCACTGTCACATCTGTCATTTGACTATATACCTCGGTTGCTTCTTTGTTTGCTGCCGTCAATTTGACCTTCTAAAAGAGATATCAACCTTTTCAGCACTGATATACACCAGCAAATTCTGGATCATATGTATGTATGGCACATCAAATGAACTAAAACTCAACTAATTTTTACCATTGAGTTCAAATACTAGGTAGTGATCAAACTAATTCTACTTTGCCCAAGAATACAGGACTTTAGAAGGCAATGGTTTCTGATATCTAACAAATTTTGAATGAATTGCTGGTATAATTGGAAAAGTAGCCTAAATGTTGAAGAAGGTTGACAGATCTTAAGGGATACAAGTTAGCCAGGACGGAGCTGAAGAAAGGGCTTAAGAGAGCTATAAGGGGGCATGAGAAAACCTTGGCGGATAGGATCAAGGAAAACTCCAAGGCTTTTTACACATACGTGAGGAATAACAGAATGACCAGAGAAAGAGTAGGGCCGATCAAGGATTGTAAAGGGAATTTGTGCTCGGAACCTAAAGAGATAGGAGAGGTCCTTATTACTTTTCTTCGGTACTCACAACTGAGAGGGACCTAGGTGTAGGGGAGGACAGTGTGAAACAGGCTGGTAGGCTAGAGGAGGTGGATGTGAGGAAGGAAGATGTACTAGGAATTTTGAGGAACTTGAAGATAGATAAATCCCCTGGGCCTGATGGGATTTATCCAAGGATTCTATGGGAAGCGAGGGAAGAGATCGCAGGGCTTTTGGCGATGATCTTTTCGTCCTCACTGTCCACGGGTATAGTGCTGGAAGACTGGAGAGTGGCAAATGTCATTCCCTTGTTCAAAAAAGGGAATAGGGATAACCCCGGAAATTACAGGCCAGTTAGTCTTACTTCAGTGGTGGGCAAGTTATTGGGAAGGGCTCTGAGAGCTCGGATCACTTGGATAGGCACAGTTTGATTTGTGATAGTCAGCATGGATTTGTCAGGGGTAGATCATGCCTCACAAACCTTATTGAATTCTTTGAAGAGGTGACCAAACACGTGGATGAAGGTACAGCAGTGCATGTGGTATACATGGATTTTAAGTAAGGTGTTTGATAAGGTTCCCCATGGTAGGCTCATGCAGAAAGTAAGGAGGCATGGGATAGGGGGAAATGTGGCAGATTGGATTCAGAATTGGCTGACCCTTAGAAGACAAAGGGTGGTAGTGGACAGAAAATATTCAACATGGTGCTCAGTTACGAGTGGTATACCACAAGGATCAGTTCTGGGTCCTCTTCTATTTGTGATTGTTGTAAATGATTTGGATGTAGGAGTGGAAGGGTGGATTAGTGAATTCGCGGACGATACGAAAGTGGGTCAAGCTGTGGATAGTGCGGAGGGCTGTTCTAGGTTACAAAGGGAAATTGATAGGACGCAGAGCTGGGCTGAGAAGTGGCAGATGGAGTTTAACCCTGAAAAGAATGAGGTGATTCATTTTGGAAGGACAAACTTGAAAGCAGAATACAGGATTAACGAAAAGATTCTTGGCAGCGTGGAGGAGCAGAGGGATCTTGGGGTTCATGTTCACAGTTCCCTGAAAGCTACCACCCAGGTGGATAGAGTTGTTAAGAAGGCGTACGGTGTGTCAGCTTTCATTAATAGAGGGATTGAGTTCAAGAGCCGTGAAGTTATGCTCCAGCTATACAAAAGCCTGGTTCGGCCACATCTGGAGTATTGTGTTCAGTTCTGGTCGCATCATTACAGGGAAGATGTGGAAGCGTTGGAAAAGGTGCAGAGGAGATTTACCAGGATGTTGCCTGGAATGGAGGGAAGATCTTACGAGGAAAGGTTGAGAGAGCTAGGGCTTTTCTCTTTAGAATGACGAAGGATGAGAGGTGACTTGATAGAGGTGTACAAAATGATCAGAGGTATAGATAGAGTGGACAGCCAGAGACTTTTTCCTCGGGTGGAGGTAGCTATTACGAGGGGGCATAGTTTTAAAGTGAGTGGAGGTAGATATAGGGGAGATGTCAGAGGTAGGTAGTTTACTCAGAGAGTGGTAGGGGCATGGAATGCATTGCTGGAGAGGGTAGTGGAGTTGGCCTCATTAGGGGCATTTAAGCGGCTATTAGATAGGCATATGGATGATAGTATAAGTTACGGGTGGAGGTTAGATAGACCTTAGGTTTAGGGTGAAAGTTTGGCACAACATCGGGGCCGAAGGGCCTGTACTGTGCTGTACTGTTCTATATTCTATGTTCTATCTTCCTTTCAACACCATTCATTTCCAACGCGAAAGTTTAAGTTGTCTCATTACAAATCCTAAAGAGCAACTGGAAAAATTTCTATAATTTGATACAAATGAGCAATCTAATTCAGGTGATTGTGGGAAATTAATAAATCACACTAATGTAAAAAGGTAGATATCCTAGTTACAGATTTGCACATGTTGTAGGAATAGAACATAGCTAGAGCTGTGTGTCCAGTCTGAGGTCTGCCCAATTATTTGTGGAGGTCAGAAATGGTTACAATCCATTCCTAGTAACTTTGATCTTGGTGAGCATAATTCATCAAAAAATCTAACTTTAAAAGACAACAAACTTCGCTGCATATTTTTGCCAAACTGTCAAAGGAATGTACTATTATTTCTAATAACACATCCCTGAGAAACAGTTGAAATAATTAATGTATACATAAATGCATTTCTAAACAATTCCTTATAAAACACAGGATTTACACCCATAGTTAGTTAACAACACAACAACTTGGCAGGCTGAACAGCTTATTTCTGTGCCATAAAATTCTAAGCGGTAGGTTGTGCATTGACAAGTCAACTCTACAAATTACACCTATGGTGAACTTTAAAATGTGTCAGGTCAGAAACTGTTTCAAGTTTTTTGAACATGACAAAAAATATCTTTCAGAATCTTACAAGATTATCAAAAGGCATGGTATTGCATGCAAACCTTTTAAGTAACCTTTTGCGTAAGCAAATGAAAAACGATTATATCACAGTTTGCATCATACCGTACATTATAATAATGATTTTTTTTTAACTTGATCAGTACAAGAACAAAATGTGCATAAGAAAATAAAGCTCACCCCATCATCATCCCTGTGTGGATTCAGTCTATTATAAACAGCTTCAATCACACTGCGCCTAGAAGGAAAATTTTTAAATGACAAGTGTTTCTTCTTCACAATTACTTATAAAAAGATAAATGAGTACTGAACTGCAACAATGTTACCTTAGATAGAATATAGCCAAAAACTTAGAAATAAGTATGCCATAAAAGTACTACATTACCTTGGATCCAAAATGTAGTCTTAAATCTCTGGACAGGCTGATTAGACAATATCTATAGGCTGGGACTTTAATTTGTCATGTCAGTGAAACTGTCAGCACTCACTATGTAATTCAAGGAAATTGCACGTAATGTAAAAACAGACATTAAGAGCTTCGATTAGAGAGAGAGAGAGAGAGAGAGGCAAAAGTAACCAATGGCCCCTTCTTCTTTATAAATTGACTGAGGATGGGGGGAATGGGGGAGGCCAGGTGTGAGGGAAGTAGAGGGTGTGAAGGGCCAGTGCAAACTGCAAGCATGTTATTTTTTTCTTTCACAACAGTAGTAGAAATGTAAAAATAATGTAAATTAAGCGTGAAAGGGGTGAGCAATTGTTACAGCTATATGTTAATGAACTCATTTCACTTTTCAAAAACTATCATATACAGCACATATAACCTAATCTGCGATAGCCCAAACTACTTATACTCTCTTCCCCTCTCTATCCCCGTATCTGTGCAGTTTCTTTCTGCTTCAAATAGGTACTGTATTAAATTCTAAACTGAAGATTATCAGGCAGAACATCCTATATCCTAGTCACTTGTTGCATAAAAAACAGGAGATGGTTGTGTGGTGGCAACACCACTGAACTAATAACCTCACGATCCAGGTGAACGTGCTGGGGACAAATGTTCAAATCACGCAACAGCGGTTGGTGCAATTTACATTCAATTAATGAAATCTGGAATATTAAGCTACTCTCAGTAATAGTGGCTATAACAACCATTAATTGTTGTAAAAATTATTCTCATACAATGTCTGGTTCTTTTGTTCATTTGAATCTGCTTCTGGTTATTGACTTCTTCCATCCAAGGGCTTTTCTTCATTTACTCGATTTAAACCCATCATGATACTGAACGCTTTGAGTAAATCACTGTGACCCTTCTCTGCTTCAAAAAGAACAACATCCAGCTCCTCCAGTGCATCCACCTAACTGTAATTCCTCATTGCTGAAATCATTATACTAAATATCTTCCGTATCCTTTCTAAAGCCTTTGGGTTCTTCCTAATGTGTAGTATCAAGAAGTAGATGCAAAAAATATTCTAGATGAAGCTGAACTTGCGTTTTATGTTTAGGCAGAACGTCCTGGCTTTGTTCTTAAAGCCTCTATTCATAAAGCCCAGGATCTCTCAGCTTTCATAACTGCTTTGCTAACCTTACCCTACCAACTTCAAAGATATAAACATAAGCCCTACTCCCTCTCTTCTTACACCTCTAGGGAATTGTACCTTTAGCATGCATTTTCTCTCATTCTTCCAAATAAAACATACTACCTCACATTTTCTGGAATGAATTTCATTTGTCATGCGTGTACCTGACCAATATCCTTTTAAAAGTCAAAATAAAAATCAAAAACCAAAAGAACTGTGGATGCTGGAAATCAGAAACAAAATCAGAAACAAAAACAGAAATTGCTGGAAAAGGTCAACAGGTCTGGCAACATCTGTGCAGAGAAATCAGAGTTAAAGTTTCTGGTCCAGTGGCCTGTCCTCAGAACTGATGGTGGTTAGGAGAATTTTTTTTTATGCAGAAGATAGGGGATAAGTAAACAATAGGTAGAGATAGAGGTCAAAAAGAGAGAGGAGCAGTTGGACAAAGGAGTGGATAACAAGTGGGCTAGGAGAATGAATAGCTATTAATGGGGACTGTTAGTGGCTAACAATGGGTTGTGTGCAATAGCAGGCGTGTGGTAACAAGGCCCCGTGCGTGGGTGTTGGAGTAAGGACATGAGAGAAAGTGCCTCAAACTCTGAAGTTGTTGAACTCAATATTGATTCCAGAAGGCTGTACAGTTCTCAGGAGGAAAATGAGGTGCCACTTCAATACACCACCTTGTACCCTGGCCAAAATCTGTGTCTTAGGCTTGCTGCAGTGCTCCAGCAAAACTCAGCACAAGTTGGAAGAACAGCATCTCATTTTTCCTCTACAGTGTTCTGGATTCAATATCGAGTTCAACAACTTTAGGGCTGGAGCTTCTCACATGTCCTTACCCCAACCCTCATACACCATGCCTTGTCATCACATAGTCTGCTATTAGAAACAACCCATTTTTAGCCTCTAACAGTCCCTATTAATAGCTATTCATTCTCCTAGTCTGATTGTTACCCACTCCTTTGTCTGTCCAACTGTTTTTCTCTCTCTTTGGGCTCCATCTCCACCTATTGTTTACTCCTTAACCACGTCCCCCAACCTCTCTTCTGCATAAAACCAACATTTTTCTACCTACGATCAGTTCTGAGCAAAGGTCACTGGACCCGAAATGTTAACCCTGATTTATCTCCTCTTAAAAGTCTTTCACTATCTTCATCAGGTGTTTACTTTGCTTCCAAGTTTTACGTCATTTTCAAATTTCAAGATTGCACCCCAAACCCTTAATTCCATATCAAAAAGTGGTCACAGTACTGAATCTTGGGAAATTCCATTTTTACCTAATTTGAGCGGGCCTACATGTCACAAGACAGAAATTGTGGGCCCTGGTGCTCTTCTACTTTCTGGACCTGTTATCCCTTCTCCTCAATAGTGCACACTATTTTTTTTAAATTAATGTCTTAATCTAAAGTTTATCTTTGCAAAAGCTTTTAATGTTTAACATACGACAATTTCAGGAAATGCACTTTTTAACTGTTTTGACTGTCATTTATAGTATTCTGATTCAGGATGTTGTCTCTATTTCCTTACAGAATTTTTTTCTGAGATGAGACACTGTCCTCCAGTATTTACTATTTTTCAGGGTACACTGAACGAATCCCAGAATAAAAAAATGATCTTGTCTATTCTGAAAGGTACTTTTATCTGCCATGTGAATTCTAATGAAGAGTCTTTACTTCAACCAGGCTGCAATTCAGAGGCATGAAATAGATTACAAGTCATTTAATTTAGTTTGCAGATGTCAGCACAATTTTAAGACTTGTGTGGTCATTACGATTTGCATTGAATGTGTGCATGGACTTTTTGGGGCTTTGCAAATCAGAATGTAACTAACAGCTGAAGGAAATCAGTATTAGTACTGTTATGGGTGTTGGGGAAATTGATGAGACTGAAGGGCAATAAAAGTCCGGAGCTTGATAATCTACATCCCAAAGTACATAAGAAAATGGCCCTAGAAATAGTAGATACATTGGTGGTCATCTTCCAAGATTCTAGAGTCTCTGGAACAATACCTACAGATTGGTCGGTAACTAATGCAGCCACTCCATTTAAAAAGTGAGGCAGAGAGAAAACTTGGAAATACAGACCAGTCAGTCTGATATCAGTAGTGGGGAAAAGGCTCAAGTCCATAAAAGAATTAATAGTTGAGCACTGCAAACAATGGCAGAAAAGAGAGAGTCAGATGGAATTATGAGAGTGAAATCATACTTGAGAAATATATTGGAATTCTTTAAGGATGCAAATTGTGAAATTGATTAAGGGGAATGAATGGATGTGGCTTACTTGGACTTTCAGAAGGCTTTTGACAAAGTCCCACAAGAGATTAGTATGGGAAATTAAAGTGCACGGAATTGGGGTGCCGCACTGAAATGAATAGAAAAGTGGTTGGCAGACAGGGGTAGAACCAAATGGTTTTTTTCTGAATGGCAGACTGTGACTAATGAGGTACCACAGATTCCAGCTATTCAACATTATTAAAGATTTTGACAAGGGAACTAAGTGTATCATGTTCAAATTTGCAAATGACACAAAGATGGGTGGGAGGGTGAGATGTGAGGAAGACAGAGACACTTCAATGTGACTTGGACAAGCTGAGTGAGAAGAAAAAGGCATGGCAGATGCAGTATAATGTAGATAAACAAAAATTTATCCACTTTGGTAGCAAAACAGGAAGGCTGATTATTATCTGAATGTCACCTCCCCCCTCACCTCCATTCAAGGCCCAAAACAAACCTTTCATATCTGACAGGGGTTCACCTGTACACCTTCCAAGCTTGGCCTACTGTATCCGTTGCTCCCAATGTGACCTCCTCTCCATCAGTGAGGCCAAGTGTAAACTCAGAGACTGTTTCATAGAGCATCTGCGCTCTGTACGTAACAAACGACAACACCTTCTGGTCGCCAAACGTTTTAACTCCTCCTCCCACTCCCTGGATGACATGTCCATTCTGAGCCTCCTCCAGTGTCACAATGACGCCACTCGCAAACTGGTGGAGCAACACCTCATATTCCGCCTCAGGAGCCTACAGACCTTCGGCCTAAACATGGAATTCACCAGTTTTAAAATCTCTCCAACCCCGGCCTCATCCCATTTCCAACCCTCCCCTCTCATCCCCACCTCCTTGACCAGACACAACCTGTCCATCTTCTCTCCCACCTATCCACCCCACCCTTCCCACTGACCAATCCCCACCACTACCTACCTGAACTCACCTATCACTATCCTACTTACCTTCCCCATCCCCACCCTTCCTCTCTCTATTTATTTCTGAGCTCCCTTCCCCCTCCCCACTTCTGAAGAAGGGTTCCAACCCAAAACGTCAACTTTCCTGCTCCTCTGATGCTGCCTGGCCTGCTGTGTTCCTCCAGCTCCACACTGTTGTCTCTCATTCCAGCATCTGCAGTTCTTGCTATCTCTAAGTTTAAGTACATACTGTGATCAGAGTAACATATTCTAAAAGCAAAACATTTTGAAGGTTGGAAATCTGCAATAAAAACAGCAAGTTTTGGAAAAACTCAGGAGGTCAGGCTGCACCCGTGGAGAGAAAAACAGAGTCAAATGTAACTCTTCCAGAACACAAATGTTTTCTTGTGTGTTAAGTTATCCAACATCTCCACAACCTCCCTGTCTACCAAGGCTTTGGTTCAAATATTGCAAGTCATTTACTGTCCTATAAATGGGAAGGAGCAATTTTTGGTGCTAGATGATTGGGGAAAAAAAAAGTGTGGGGGGTATGCAAAGGTTTTGGCAACTGGATGGAAATATTTTTTGCTTATTTTCACATATTACAGAACTGAAAGACACAAAGATAAACTTTACAAAATAGTACATTGTATGACTGTATTACAGTTCCATGATATGTTATACTCACTTGCTTGCAAGGCCACCTCCTGGCGGTAAATTTGGGATGTTCTCCATAGAAAGAGTGCGCATCACATGAACCAAATCAGGTATCCCTTCTTCACTGGGTTTCAGCATAATTTCTGGAATTGGTAATTGAAAATAATATTAAACCATAATAAATTTTAAGCAAGAAATTTGCCAAAGTGTTTTGTGTAGCATCCTCCAAAACATAAAACAACACAGATGAGAGTTGCTTTCTGCAATGTGTAAACTTAAAAAAAAAAGAGTAAGCATATCTCTTAAGACACATCAACGTTATGATAAATGAGACAAAATACTTTGGCAAAAAACACAAGTGTTGGACAAGAAGACAGCTTAACATCTGTGAAAAGAAGCTCGTAGAAACAATAATTCAGGACAATATTAACAGTCTTCGGTGAAGCAGAGAAAAATAAAAGAGTGTTAACACAAATTTGTTGATGCAAGATCATATTCAACTAAGCTGCAGAAGTTACAGAAAGAATGAATGAGGTCAGTGTTTACTTTGGATGAGATCCTAACTTAGTTGTGTCAAGTCAAAGTGTCACAATTCTCCAGTGAAAGGTTGTGGGGCAAATCTCCACTCTAGGGCTGATACTACAGAAGAGTACATTAAAAAAGCTGAAGAGCTTCAAATTTAATACTGAAGCTTCAGACTTTCCTTTCAATTAAAAAGCACAGACACTTGCAGGGAGCAGCAGCGAACTCAATGGGCTAACATTCTTGTTTCAACCAGCACCACCAAAACACAGTGATCACTTATCTGACCACTGTGTTGGATATTGTTGTGTAATTTTCTGGTATATTTGCCTAGTTAACACTGATTGCACTTAAAAATTAATTTGCACTTTGAGACATTAAAGGACCTAAGAAATAGGAGGAATAGATTATGCATCACCTCAAGCCTTCTTGCTATTCAATACAATCATAACTGACATTCTGCTTCAACAACTGCACTTGCCCATTCACTCTGCATATGCCTCGGTTCTTTGAGCAACCGATATCTGTCTATCTGAGACTTAAATATACTCAATAAATGGAGCAGTGTCAGTCCCCTTGGATAATTAATTTCAAAATTTTACTGTGCACTGAGTGAAGAAATCTCTAATCTCATTCCAAATGACTGGCCCCTTTCTTGACACTGTGTTTGCATTCTCACTTCTCCAACAAGGAAAACAACCTCTCAGGCTCTACCCTGTCAAGCCCCTTCGGAATCATTATTTCATGGAGAAGAGGTAGAGACAACTTTGTAGATACTAAATCCAGTTTGCTCAGCCTCTTCTCCTGGACAATCCTCAAATGTGATGAAGCAATCCAGTGAATATTCATTGTACTGCCTTCAATTCACTTATATCCTTCCTTAAATATAGAGAATAAAACTGTGTACTATACTAAAAGGCTTGCACAATTGTAACAAGGCTTCCTGACTCTTACATCCAATTCTGGTAGAATAAAGGTTAAAGATGTGATAAAGCAGTATGTGTGAAACCAGCACTTATGGAAATTACATTTAAAAACTGAACTTCAATACCATATCTAAAAGACTGAAGCAATGTGCACCAAAAGCAGCTCTAGTAAAGGCCAATTTTACAGTAGGTCCAATGGCAACCTGTCTATGCATTAGCACATGAGTGCAAATGAGATTCAGTGATTCAATGATTCAAGTACTTACTTCAAAGTTTTCAGCACAAATTAGGCTATGTAACAAGGTAGGGTGAATGGGCAGCATGGGAAAAGGCAAATTCTGGCAAGCATGATTACTTTAATTTGTGACTGAGGAAATGTGAGTTTTGCTGCATATTCTGAATACATTTCAATGTAAAGAGAAAAAAATATAAGTGGTACTCATACAGAAAGCCAGAGTCATAAACTTCAAAGATAATAACGTAACCTGAATTGCATAGTTTTAAAATCTGGAACAAGACCAGTGCACAATTCATGAAACTATTACAAAACTACTTGAGCCAAAAAACTTCAGCACAAAGTCACTTTTATGGATGTTCCAGTTATCCCATGTGAGGACAAACATGCTGGAACCTGACGACAGATCATTTAAAAAGTTCCTATTGAATTCTTTGGTGGGGTTGGAGTGAAAAAGGAACTTGAGGATTATCAGGAAATTGAACAAATCTCTGCCAAAACTGAAAGTCTACTTGTACTCAACACTTATTTGATGAACTATTTTTAAGATTTCCTCCAATTTCTAGGCCATTTCGGCCCATCAAGACCATAGTGACCCTCTGAAGAGCATTCCACCCATCCTATCCCTGTAGTCCTGCATTTCCCATGGCCAAACCACCTAGTCTGCACATCTTTGGACTATGGGAAGAAACTGGAGCACCCAAAGGAAAGCCACGCAGACATGGGAACAATGTGCAAACTCCACAAAGACAGTCACCCAAGGTTGGGATCAAACCCGGGTCCCTGCGGCTGTGCTAACCACTGAAACACCGTGCCGCTCCAAAGTGAAAAAAGAAATCACATGCATTGGAAGCCATAGGTGATGATTAAGGATGAGAAGCTGTCCTATGATGCCGGGCACCCTAAATTGGGCCCATATTCACTGGAGTTCAGGAGCATAACAGATGTAATCTCATTGAGACATTCAAGATGAAAGGGCTTGACAGAGCAGATGCAGATTGTTTTTGTTAGCTGGGGAATCTAAAACATGAGTCTCAAGATAAGGGACCAATTTGATTATAAGGAGAAATTTCTTTGTACAAAAGGTTGTGAATCTTTGGAATTTTCTTTTCAAGGGTGTTGTGAATATTTAAAACCAGGATAGAGAGACTGCTGAATCTCTCCAAGAATCAAGGTGTATGAAAAAATGGAGCTGAAGTCTGAAATTAGCCACATCAGTATTGAATGGTGGAACAGCATCCACAGGACATATGGTCTTATCTTGCTCCTAGCCATCTTGTTACCATGTCATGGGTCCAGTCCATGCTCGCATACATCCATGATTCCTCTGACGCTTTACGCCAGTTTCAGAATTTCCCATTTGCAGGCTCCAGCTGCCTCCTCTTTATCATGGACGTGCAATCCCTTCACACATCCATCCCCCAAACAGGATGGTTTCAGGGCTCTCCGCTTCATCCTGGAGCAAAGGCCTGAACCGTCCCCACCCACCATCACTCTCCTCCGCTTGGCCGAGCTCGTCCTCACCGTCAACAACTTCTGTCATTTTCTTCAAGTCAGAGGAGTGGCCACTGGTACCCGCATGGGCCTCACTTATGGGTTATGTGGAACATTCCTTGTTCCAGTCCAATTCATATACCCATCCAGGTGCCTTTTGAACACTGTAATTGTATCCACCTCCACCACTTCCTCTGGCAGCTCGTTCTATACATACACCACTCTCTGCGTGAAAATGTTACCCCTCAGGTCCTTTTGAAATCTCCACTCCCACACTTCACTAACCCCACCTTAAACCTATGCCCTCCAGTTTTAGACTCTGCCCACCCTAGGAAAAAGATCTGGCTATTCATCCTATATGCACTCCTCATGGTTTTATACATCATCTATAAGGTCACCCTTCAGCCTCCAACACCTCAGGGAAAATAACCCCCGCCTATTCAGCCTCTCCCAAAAGCTCAAACCCTCCAACCCCAGCAACATCTCTGTAAATCTTTCCTGCACCCTCCCAAGTTTAACAAGATCCTTCCTACAGAAATGCGACCAAAATTGTTTGCAGTATTTCAGAAGAGGCCTAACCAATATCCTGCACAGCTACAACATGATCTGCCAACTCTTATACTCAAACACTGACCAATGAAGGCAAGCGTGCCAAATGCCACCTTCCCCACCCTGTCTTATCTGCGACTCCACTTTCAAAGAACTGTGCACCTGCACCCCTAGATCTCTCTGTTCGGCAACACTCCCCAGGACCCTACTATTAAGTGCATAAGTCCTGCCCTGGTTTGCCTTACCAAAATGCAACACCTCACATCTATCTAAATTAACCTCCACCTGCCAATACTCGGCCCGTTGGCCCATGTGAGCAAGGTCCCATTGTCCTGAGATAATTTTCTTCACTATCCACTATTTTAGTGTCATCTGCAAACTTACTAACCATATTTCCTATATTCACATCCAAATCATTTATATAAAAGCAATGGACCCAGCACTGATCCTTATGGCACACCACAGATCAAAGGCCTCCAGTCTGAAAAACAACCCTCCACCCTGAAAAACAACCCACCACCACCGCCACCCTTTGACTCCTACCTTCAAGCCAAGTTCATATCCAATTGGCTAGCTCCCCCTGGATCCAATGTGATCTAAACTTACTGACCAGTCAACCAATGCAACCTGGTCGAATTGCTTTGTTCAAGTCCATACAGACAACATCGCCTGCTCTTTGTCACCTCTTCAAAAAACTTAATCAAGTTAATGAGACACCTCCATCAGAAGATCAGAGGTGGGCATGGTCATACTAATGTTCAGCATCATCTGAAACAGTCTGTGTCCAAACACAGCAAGACCTGGACAATATTCAGGCTTGGGTTGACAATCAGTAAGTAACATTTGTACTACATAACTGCGATGCAATGCTCATATCCAACAAGATAGCATCCATTTCCTCTTGACATTTAATGGCGTTGCCATCACTGAATCATCCAGTTTCAACATCCAAGGGATTACCACTGTCCAAAAACTGAGTTGGACCAGCCATATAATCATTACAGCTTCAAGAGCAGGTATGAGGCTGGGAATACTGCAATGAACAAATCCCCGCTGAACTCTCAAACTGTACAGCATTGAAAAGACAAATGTCAGGTGTGTGATGGAATATTGCCCACTCACCTAAATGTGTGCAACTTCAACAACACTGCAGCTCGACACCATTCAGGACAAAGCAGCTCATTGAACATTTCATCTAACACCTTCAACATTCACCGATGCACAGTGGCAACATTGCAAACCCTCCGTTGTAAGACTTCAAGATTCCTTTGACAGGAACTCCAAACACAAGATCTCTACCACCTAGAAGAACAAGGCCAGCAGAAATATGGGGACACTATCGCCTCCAAGTCACAAACTTGTCTTCAGTGTAGCTATTTCTTCACTGTTGTTGGGTCCAAGTGCTGAAACTCCCTTTCTAATAGCAGTGTGGGTGTACCTACACCAGTTGCACAACAATTGTTCACGTCAATTCACCATCACCTTCCCAAGGGTAATTAGGAATGGGCAATAAATGCTGGCCTAGACAGCACCACACACATTCGACAAATGAAAAATAAACTGGCTTGGTCTCAACAGGAATAGTGCATCCTGATTGGGGCATTAGAGTGCGCAAAGAATCACAAGAATGGTTCTAGGGGTGAGAAATGCCAATTATGCAGATGGATTGGAGAAGGTGGGATCACTTTCTTTGGAGAAAAGAAAGTTAAGAGGAGATTTGATAGATACTCAAAAATATGAGGGGTCTGGGGAAGAATACATGTGGAGAAACCATTTGGCACTGACTCACAAGCAGAGAGTGAGGCAGTCAGGAGTGTATTCACTAGAATTTAGAAACTTGGGTGGTGTGCATGACTACGTGTTTATACAGAAGGAAAGAAGTCTCAGAATTTTATAAGTTTCTAACAGGTTAGATGTAGGGTCTAGAATCAGGGGCATAGCTTAAGGATAAGGATTAAACCTTTTAGGACTGAGATGAAGATAAATTTATTCACCTAGAAAGTGGTGAGCCTATGAAGTTCATTTCCACACAAAGTGGTTGATGCCAAAACAGAAAGAGGTAGAACTGTGGCTCAAAGAATCAAGGGACTGGGGGCGGAATTGGGTTCTTGAGCTTGATGATCAGTCACGGTCGTATTGAATGGCACAGCAGGCTTGACGAGTCGAATGGCCTACTTCTGCTCCTATGTTTCTATGAAAGAATTGACAAATGGCGGTCACAGATTTAAACTAACTGCCAAAGCAGCAATGGTAGGATTAAAAAGCAAATTTTTCACACATTAAGTCATTAAGATCTGGAATATGCTGCCTGAGAGACAGGTACAATTGAGGTATTACAAAGAGAACAAAACAATGAACTGTGGACGCTGCAGATCTGAAACAAAACAAAATGCTGATAAACTCGGCAGGCCTGGCAGCGTCGGTGGAGAGAAAGAGAGAGATAACTGAGTCCAGTGGTCTTCATCAGAACATCAGTGAGAACAGTTCTGTTCAGGCAGAGGGTCACTGGGCTCAAAACTACCTATTTTTCTCTCCACTGATACTGCGAGACCTGTTGACTTGCTCCAACACTGTTGTTTTTATTTTAAAAGGAATTGGATTATTCTCTGAAGGGTGTGTTACTGGGAGAAGATGGAGAATTGGCATTAGATGCATTGCTCATTTTGAAAGCAGACTGAAACATGTTAGGCCAAATGGCCTCTTGCTGTACTACAAAAACTGAATGAATTCTGAGATCCAGGAGGTGCACAATATTTCAAGATCAGACAACGTAAAGGATGACAAAATGGCAGGAATGAGAAAAGCTCTTGGCTCAGAAATCCGTAAGTAAATCAGTGTGGGTGGGGACTGGGAATAACAAGGGAAAAGAACTGCTGGTGGAAGTAGTTTACAGACCCACGAAAAGTATTTAAAACTGGAGACAATATTAAATCATGAAGTAAGCATAACATGTGACAAAGGCAACTTGTTAATCAAGGTGCATTTTAATCTTCATGTAGACGACAAAGTCAAACTTGCAGAAGTAGTCTGATAAATAAATTTGTAGAATAATTTTGAGAGTTTCCTGGAATAACACAAAATGGGAGTAAGATGGCCATCTAGCCTCTGAGGCCTGCCCATCATTCAATAAGATCGTGGCTGATCTGATTATAACCTCAAATCCAAATTCCTGCCTTCATCAGAAAACATTTTAACCCTTACTTAACAAGGATCTATCTATCTCTACCTCAAAAATATTAAAGGACATTGCTTCTACCACCTTTTCAAGGATCAAGTTCAAAAGACTCATGACCCTCAGAGAGAAACATTTCATCGGTTTTAAATGTGGTGAACTTTTGTTCAAGATTCTTCCCTAAGAAGCTACCCTGTTAAAATCATGCAGGATTTTACGTTTCAGTCAAGTTGCCCCTTTCTTTTCAAAGCTCCACAGGATTCAAGCCTAACTAGATCACCCTTTCCTCCTAAGGCAACCTACCCATTTCAGTTAATAATGTGTTTCAAAGAAGGTTTATTATCTCCAACCTTTTTACGCCCTTCGCAAAATAAGATGATTAATACTGTTCACAGTTTTTCAGAAGTGGTCTCATCATGCCCCGGATAACTGAAGCATAATCTTTCTACTTCTGTATTCAACTGCCCTTGTGATAAGTTATACTCACTGTAACTACACATTGTGATTCAGGTATGAGGACACTCAGATGCCTCTGCATATGAGAGCTCCGTAATCTCACAACATTTAGATAATATCAGAGATAGTAGGAACTGCAGATGCTGGAAAATCTGAGATAACAAGGTGTAGAGCTGGATGAACAGGCCCAGAACATCAGCCTTCCTGCTCCTATGATGCTGCTTGGCCTGCTGTGTTCATCCAGCTCTACACCTTGTTATTTAGATAATATGCTTCTTTTTCGTTCTTCCTGCCAAAGTGGACTTCACATTTTCCCATAATATATTCCATTTGCCACACCTTTTCCCATTCACCCAAGCTATAAATGTGCATTTGTAATCACCTTGTGTCCACTTCACAAATT